GTTGGTTTGTCAAATCTTATGGATGTCTGCGATCATCTTCTCATGAGATCCTTTAGTAGTTAGACCATCAAGAGGAGAGTATCACTGTTTCTCTTGTGCTTCTATATTGTTAGGATGAAGTACATTTTTAATCCTGTTGTATGTCTGTTTTGCATATCTACCGCTTCCAACAAGTGGCTCTGGGAAGAGATTGTTGATGCTTGATGTTTTAACTAAGTATTGATGCAGTGTCGGACAGAGATTTTGTCGTGGAGTTTTTGTCAGCCAATTCTATAATAGCTGTGCATCTTTCACGGCTTGGTGAAGAGTGGGTTTTGTGGGCATCAGAGGAGTTTGGCTTTATTACACCAAGTGACTCTGTTTCCACTGGAAGTAGCATAATGCCTCAAAAGAAATATCCTGATCCAATGGAACTTGTCTGCGGAAAGGACCTTGTTACCCTCCTGACCTTGTGTGAGGGCCTTCCTCTGTCTTACAATCGGGATCTGCAGGTAGAATACTTTTGCTAATTTCAATTTATTGACATTTTTCTGTACCTGTCACTGGCATTCTCACTTGAAGAAAACATTCCCAGCTCATTGAAAATTGTTCATTACATCCATGAAGATATCAAGAGGCTCTTGATAGTTTATAGATGGATACTAAGTCTGATCTTGAAAAGTATTAAATGCTGCTGTGATTGTAATATGTTCGTTGATAGAACGGTGCTTGAGGGGTCTAAATATCAATTTATAGCTAGAAGATTGGAAAGACTAAAGCATATTCCCCTGGAGAATCATGAAGTAGAAAATAGACAATTTGTAGTGGGAGATGGGTTATTTAGTTTGATAAGCTCCAACCGCACAAATTATGAATTAATTTCACCTTGCACGATGCAATAAAATTCCGTCAAGGAAAAAAAAGTGTCGCTTCAAATTTCCCAGCAGAGCTAGCTATCAATCTCCATGATGTCTATCTATGGTTTCTTGACGATCTAACGGACACTGAAGTAAAGCTGTACAGCTATACAAGCCTGCAACTCTCCCAGGGGTGGGAATTTTGCCTTCGGCATTTATAGTTTGCGAAGCATACGGCTCAGTTTGGCTGCATCTTCTTTCAAGTCTATCAGCTCTGGATCTTCTCTACACTCGAGTTCTTTGTTCTCTAACAAGAGCCTTCGAATAATGTCCAGAAAAGAACAATGAGAAACGTCGGCAGGGAGCATTGAGGTTTAATGGCAATACTAACAGCCAAATCAGTCCCAAGGCCAAATTGATGGAAGTAATTGCTCGAAGGAATCGTTCCCAATGCCAAAATAAAGCAAAGAATTTGCTCCCCTGAGGTTCTTTTGCTTTAGTGACACAGCTTCTTCCTTGATCTTCGTGATCTCATCCGCCATCCTAGCAACAAAGGAGGCAAGAGTGAACAGTTTTAACGTTCATCGAAAGAGAAATGCATAATCGGTGTGGCCGGCAAGTTGAACTTTGAATCTCCACCGTCTGCACACACTCTCTAAACCAACTCTAAATGATTGACCTTTATCTCTATGCTTGTATAATCTTATGTTTTGTACTTAGCTTAATTACATCGCTACGCATCGAATTGGCAGTCTAACCGATTGAACGGCAAACCGTCAACTCGAGATATTAATGCACCGATCTAATTTCGAAAAAGCTGCCTGGAAACATTTCCAGTGTATCTCTTATCGTATTCACACCCGTTTTTCGAATGTATGAAAGACCCACTGCCTTTAAGAGCATTATTCCACCAATAATTGGATATACCTTGCATGATTGTGAATTACATAATTTCCACGGTTATCCTTGCATCTTGAATATATTTCGTAGGCGACTTCCATTTCACAAATCAAAAACTCTGCTGCATCTAACTTTTAACTATAATCGAATTAATCAGGAAAAAATCGGACTTTTTTCTTTTCCACTTTTCACCTCAAAAACACAGCGTGAGACACGTTTATTGGGTCCTCGACCGGAGCTCACCCTCTCAACATATGATTTGTCGCTCGAATTCGAATCTCGAGCGGTGATAGAAAATCGAGAATCGCCATGAAAGAAAAAACCGAAACATCAAAGGCAACTTTTACAGCAGAGACGCCTTAGAGCAGACAAAAAAAGGGTTGATATTTATTGCATCCCCTGCCAAATCGAAGAGGATGGCTAATTGTGTTATTCTTGTACCGTGCACAAAACAATTTGATTACAATGTTCTTTAGTTTTAGCGAATTTGGTAATAATGTACTTCTATTCCTGCAAATCTAGTTATGATATTCTTCGGTTCCAACCTCACAAATATCGGATCTCTGGTTTAGACACATTACCAATCATACGTCAGATATTGGAGAGAGTTCGAGAGAGCTCACCATTTCAATTGTGCTAGCAATTGTTCTTATGTGTGAATTATTTGATTGACGTCAATCTTCCTCTTCTCATGAAACTCATATCCAATTTATTTAAATCAATTTGGCCATTAACTCTGAAATCGTTTTAGAGCATTAATTCGGTTGCGGAATCTGAGCCCGTTTCAGAGTCTGAATCTGTTGATTCTGAAACCATTTCAAAGTATTATTCTGGGCATTAATTCTGTAACCGTTACAGCGCATTAATTCAACTGCCCGTTCATTGACTTTTACCATGCATGGAACTCTTGATATTCTTAGTGGGTTTTTAACAATATATTTGGTATGGTTCTAATTTACTTCCCCTCCCTTATTTAACACGTCAAGTGGTTTTTACTTAAATCAATCAATTAAGATGTAGATAGTTAGATATTATCAAATGCACTTAATCACTCTTGGTGCTAAAAATATTCATTATCAGATACAACCAAACTATTTAGCATAATATGGCAGCGTTCAAAAAATGAGAAAATTGTCCAAAAAATTCTCAATGACTAGTGCTAATGTGGATAATTTCTACAATTTTTTTTATTTTTTAATGATTTGTTTTTAGCTGGCGCTCACCAAGTGTTTGATGAAACGTCAAAGAGAGATTCTCCCCCACATTCACTTCAGAATTTTGCTTAATCAAAAAAGTCGCCCTCCTGCATTTCCTTTGTAGCTCAGCATTTGAACTTTCGTGGGGATAGGCTGTTGAGAATATATCGACTATGGGAGGCTTGAGAATACTTGTTGAAGATGATGGCATATTACTTATATCGAAAATATTCAAAGATTTCAAATTCAATTTTTAATGAAATTATCTTATGTTAGATAGCACCAAAAATAGGACATTTTTAAGATCTTAAAAGATATTCGGAAGATTTGAAATCCTCTTTGTCCACCCAATCCAGTCCGAATCAAGAGACGCAACTTAAAAGCCCGTTTGGCTTAACTTTGGGAAGTGGCCTTTAGGGAATGCAAATATCTTTGGGTTAAAGCTTTTGGAGAAATGCAAATGGCATTTGGTAAAAAATTCTTTGCGAAGCTACTTTGGCCAAAGTAGTGTTTAGGGTGCGCATGACAATATTTCTATGCCGGGGAACTATTTCTACTCAGAAATGGTTCTTTTTTATTCTGTGCCCGGAAATAATTTCTAAGCATTTGAAGGCGTTTGGTAACTGTCCAAAATTTCTATTCCTGGGATAGAAAAGAGTAAATACGTTTAGTAACTACACAAAATTTCTTTTTATTAATAATATTTTAAATTGTTTAATATTTTTTTTTCTTTCTATCCTTCCTTCTTTGGCCATGGCTGGTCGCCGGCGCCGGCGACCGGCCACAGGCCAGGGCGTCGCGGCCCTCGCCGCCGCCCTGGCCACCTGCATCATCGCCGGCCTCGCCCAGATCGGGAGAGGCCGAGCCTCGCCGTGGGTAGCAACGACGAGGCTCGGCCTCGCTCGATCTGGGGGAGGCCGACCTCACCGTCGGTCGCGACGGCGAGGTCGGCCTCCCCCAGATCGGGCGAGGCTGAGCCTCGCCGTCGCGATCCACGGCGAAGCCGACCTCGCCCTAGGTCGCAACGGCGAGGCTCGGCCTTGCCCAGATCTGGGCGAGGCCGACCTCACGGTTCTGGGCGAGGCCGAGCCTCGCCGTCGCGACCCAGGGCGAGGTCGGCCTCGCTGTGGGTCGCGACGGCAAGGCTCGGCCTCGCCTGATCTGGGCGAGTTCGACCTCACCATGATCGACGGCGAGCCGCCTCGCCTAGGCGGCGAGGGTCCAGCCCTCACCCTCGCCTCCGCCGGCGACCGGCCACAACCCAGGAAGAACAACACAAAGAAGAAAAGAAAAAAACGAAAAAGAAGAAAAAAAACCGATTCTCAAAATTGTGCCGAGAAACAAGAAGTAACTTTTTTTTACTTCTTGTTTCTCTTCCAAAACTGTTTCTGGGCACAAATTTTTGCAAAAATGTGCCCGGGAACAAAAAATTTACCAAACGCATTTCTGTTCCCAAACTATTTCTGGGAACAAAAGAACAGAAATTTTTACTGTTTGGCACGTTACCAAACGAGCCCTTAGCTAATTTTTTTTTTGCAAAGGGCTTTGGGATCCTTTTTTATTAAAAAAAAAAAGTTAACCTTCGTCGGAGCCGACGAAGGTCTACGGCCACCGGTGAGCTAGATCTGGCACCGGCGGCCATCGTCCGAGGTCGGGCGACCGCCGGTGAGCCAGATTTGGCACCGGCGGCCGTCGGGCTACCTCGGGTGACCCCTGGCAAGGGTTGCGCGACCTCAGGCTACCGTCGCCTGGGTCGGGCAATCTCGTCGGCCCTTTGTCGTCCAAATCCGGTGTCGTCGGCCGTCCTCGCCAGGCACGCTTTCGTGAAGAAGATGAACAGTAATAAGGGGGTAAAACTGGAATATTAAAGTTTAAGCGAGGGTAGTTTGGAAAGGGAAATAAAAAAAAATTTCGATATTTGTCAAATGCCTAAAGCCCAAAGCTGATCTTAGCATTTAGCCAGTGCTAGGCCAAAAGTTGAACTAAACGGGGCCGAAAGCCCTCGATCGCTCCAGCTTTGCCGCCGAAAACCCCAAGTAAATCTCTCCGGACGATACAGAGAGAAGAAAGCCCCATACCTTCGAGAGCTCTTATGGAGTCGACCGTCGTCGCTCCTCGCACCGTTTCACTGTTCACCGAATCCGCGCATCCCTCTTCACAGAGCCGACTCTTATCGCATCCGAAACTGAATAAGCTGCGGCCGCCACTCTCGGCTCCTTCGAAGAACATCAGGCTCCGCGCGACGTTGTCCATCGCCATGAGCGCCGCCACCCGAAACCCTAATTCGAAGGAGGAGGCGAAGCTGTGGGGCGGCCGGTTCAAGGAGAGCGTCACGGAGACGGTCGAGAGGTTCACCGAGTCCATCTCGTTCGATAAGGAGCTGTATAGGCACGACATCATGGGAAGCAAGGCGCATGCCTCTATGTTGGCCAAACAGGTGATCGTGGCACGTTGTTGTTTTCCCCATTTTTTTGGTTGTTCCCATTGGGCGAACTGGGTTTCGGTGTAGGAAGGTTGGGTTGATTGCTTTGGTTTGAGAGAGTGAGATTTTGTGGATGGCGGAGATGATGAATGTATTTTGTGGGAGTTAGCCTACTGAGAGCAATCATATAATGACTGTGTGAAATGTGAACACGGATAGAGTAGTTTCTAGATGTGTGCGTGCTTCAGAGTTGCAAGCAAAAGAGATGGAGAAAGCAGAGGCTCGTTTTCATCAGAACATGGTTGGGCGACCCGCATTGACATTATTTTGCTTCGCAAATGGCATATTGAACATTCACGAGATGCATAAACAATCACACTTCGGCCTTTTCTATTTCTGTCTGATACTGGTAATGCTCCGTGTCTTAGGACAGTCCTAATGCACTTTTTCCCCGGCACTAAAGCGAAAACACACGATGCTTTGCACATGTGAAGGCATGAAAGAGGTAATTACCCACAGGCAATCATCACGTTCTTATGATTGTCCCTACAAGATAAAGCCACGCTCGTTGATGAATCGCTTAGTTCTCACGTCAGTGTTTTCTTGCAGGGACTGATGGATCACAGTGACAGAGATAAAATCTTGGAAGGACTGAGTGAGATTGAGAGACTGATTGAAAACGGAGAGTTTAAGTGGAGGGCTGATAGAGAAGATGTGCACATGAACATCGAAGCAGCACTAACTGATATGATCGGCGAGCCGGCAAAGAAGCTCCATACAGCTCGAAGTCGGAATGATCAAGTTCAGACCGATTTTCGCCTGTGGTGTCGTGATGCCATTGATAGGATCATTCCATGTATTACAAATCTTCAGGTGGCTTTGGTGACCTTAGCTTTAAAAAACGAGGGCGTAATTGTTCCGGGATACACACATATGCAGAGGGCCCAACCAGTTTTGTTGCAACATCACCTCTTAGCATATGTTGAGCAGGTACTCATAGTCTATGTAATTAGCAAGTCTCTATCTTAAGATGACATGCTTTGCTTTAATTCTAAGTGGATGCCATTTAGTTATGTTTTTATTCCTCTCTTATATAGAAGCCGGTCTTTTAGAGTGGCATTATTGGGCATAGTAGTGAAGCCTCGTACTTCCTAAATATGCCATGATTTATGTGACGTTATAAGGTGTTTAATCATGTGCATGTATGGTAAATGTTGCCTCTTCATTTGTCAGAACACCAATATCCATTTCTGCTCTTTGAAGCTAGTTTATTGGGTTGCTATAAAAATTAACCTTACACTGTCTTGTCTTGTAGCTTGAGCGTGATATTGGTCGTTTAGTAGACTGCAGAACCAGGCTCAACTTCTGCCCTCTTGGGGCATGTGCTTTGGCTGGAACTGGCCTTCCAATTGACAGATTTATGACTGCTGAAGAGCTAGGGTTCTCAGCTCCCATGCGCAATAGGTATGACTCAATCGTTTATGCAGAGTTGGATGCTCTAGCAATGTGCTTTCTGTTTGGAGATACTCCATTCTTTTGGTGCAAATACGGACTTGTTTATTTCTATTGCACTTTATTGTATTATTTACATATGTTCTCATTGGCCTTGTAATTGTTGTGCAATATGTATTCTTATCAAGTGAATCGGTCAATCATGTATCTAGTGTTGATTGGTACAAGTTTCAAGGTCCTCCTTTTACATGAAAATTGATGAAAAAGCGATATAAAATTGATACTCAACTTTACCCAGACAACTTTTTCAAGAAGGTTTATATGCTCTTTATCTACTTCGAACTGACATTTTGGTGCCTGTTTGGTTTGTCAAATCTTGTGGATGTCTGATCATCTTCTCATGAGATCCTTTGGCATTTTGACCATCAAGAGGAGAGGATCACTGTTTCTCTTGCGCTTCTATATTTACATTTTTAATCCTGTTGTTTCTTAACATGTGGCTCTGGGAAGAGATTGTTGATGCTTGATGTTTTAACCAGTATTGATGCAGTGTCGGACAGAGATTTTGTTGTGGAGTTTTTGTCAGCCAATTCTATAATAGGTGTGCATCTTTCACGGCTTGGTGAAGAGTGGGTTTTGTGGGCATCAGAGGAGTTTGGCTTTATTACACCAAGTGACTCTGTTTCCACTGGAAGTAGCATAATGCCTCAAAAGAAAAATCCTGATCCAATGGAACTTGTCCGCGGAAAGTCAGCTAGAGTGATTGGACACCTTGTTACTCTCCTGGTCTTGTGTAAGGGCCTTCCTCCATCTTACAATCGTGATCTGCAGGTAGATTACATTTTCTAATTTCAATTTATTGATGATTTTCTATGCCTGTCACCGGCATTTGCACTTGAAGAAAACATTGCTGGCCCATTGTAAATTGCGCGTGACATCCATGAAATTTCAAGAGTTTTGATATATAGATGGATACTAAGTTTGAACTTAAAACTATTAAATGCTGCTGTCATTGTAATATGTTCGTTCATAGAACTGTGCTCTAAATATCAATTTATAGCTGGAAGATTGGAAAGACTAAATGCATATCCTCTTGGAGAATAATAATGAAGTAGAAAATAGACAATTTGTAGTAGGAGATTTTGATAAGCTCTGACTAGCTGCTATATGCTGAAGAACATTATCCTCTTCCATACAGGAGGACAAGGAACCTGTATTTGATAGCGTAAAGACAATTGTAGGGATGCTTGAAGTGTCTGCAGAATTCGCTCATAATATTACCTTCAATAAGGAGCGTATATGCAGGGCTTTGCCGGCTGGCCACCTTGATGCCACAACACTTGCTGATTACCTCGTTAAAAAGGTAAGTCTTGCGTGACATCTCACTACTTTTTCTTTCTTTTCCCTCTCTTTTAGTTCTAACAACTTAGTTATGGTCAGCACAAATAGTTATCTGGTGCCCCTGACTCAAAACTTGGGCAGTGTTCTTTCCCTTGTTAACTTTTATACCAAAGAAGTGTTTCACTTGCACTCTCTTTGTTCCTTCTGCTGTTGAGCTTTCTTACTTGCAAACTGATATCTATTATGCTTTACTTATCCCCAAGAGAACGGGATATACAAACTTTATAGGAGGACTTTGGTCCTATTTCACTATAGTTTCCATGTGGCGGGGTTACCATATTATGTCATATCTTGGAATGTTTCTGAATTTTGATACTTTTTCCAGGGCATCCCTTTCCGAACTTCTCACGACATTGTCGGGAGATCAGTTGCATTTTGTGTCTCAAGGAACTGCCAGCTTCAGGATCTCAGTCTGGATGAACTACATAGCATCAGCCCGGTGTTTGATAAGGATGTGTATGAGTACCTCGGCGTTGATAATGCAGTCAAGAATTTCTGTTCGTATGGGTCGGCTGGATCGGCATGCGTTGCAAGTCAGATGGACTACTGGGTTAGGAAGCTCAATATCGAAAGAATCTGATCCAGACTATTTCAATAATGGCCAATCAACTTGTATTGATAAAGTAGTTTTAGAGTGGGCAGATTGAGGGTCTCAGGTATGATGGATCATTTTAATATTTCATGGGCTGCATTCGGTTGTCCGGATTTTTTTATTGGATAGGATTAGGTCAAATAGGGTAAAGATATGTTGAGAATCTGAATTTCATATCTAATGTTCGATAACATCTGGATATAACATGGATTCAAATAAAATACTATCCGAATGAGTATGGATTCACGGCTTCACCACCCAGGTTCGCCACAACCACCTCTTTTGTCTCGGAAAGCTGCCGATGCCATCCCGCCTCCACTCCAACCCATATTGTGTCATGGCCTTGCTTTGTACCTCACTCGTCCCTCTTCTCTGCCTCGCATCTCTCTTTACATTATCCTTCTCCATGGCACCCTCGTTCGTCCTCTCTACTTTGTTGTCACTGTCCTCAAGAGGGCGAGGTGGGGACAAGACAAGCCTTTGATCCAGGGCTTAGATCTAGCAGGAACGTCAGATTTCGACTCGCCCTTGCTAGTTTCTTACCCTCGGGTCCACCTCGGCTTGTTAGTGCACGAGGTTGACCGGAGATAAGGTTGCAACTATATGCATGACGGAGCTGGAAGCAATGGTTTTAGGCGATTCCAGCAGAGAGGTCGATTGAGAAGAGCAGATTAGGCGCCTCCATGTGAAGAGTTGGCGAAGTGTGATTACAGTCTATCACAAATTCTGAAACTTCAGGAATGGAGTAGAGAAAGAACAGGTCGAAGAAGAAGAGGAGAGGGACAGATGGGAAGAGAGTGAGACCGTGGCGAATTCTAAATCTTCGTATGTTTACTTTATTTAATCTTTCCCGGATTTCACATATTTTATCCGAATCTATTCCATCCTATATAAGCGGTGTTACGTTAAACACTGAAGTTTTATTTGAATTACTAAACACAGCCTTACTGCCTGGGAAAGCCAAGTTTGATCGAGGATTGGAAAGGAGAAGTGGAAGAGAAAAGGCTGGGATGGTTTTGAGTGTCAATTGTGTGAGATCAATGAGGTGCATCGTTCGAGTGAGGGGGCATGAGTGTGGTACTACGAAGAGATTATTTAGTTAAATTAAGCCCACGTCGGGAATTGTTTTTCTTGGGATTAAGAGTATAATGGAGTAGATTGTCAAATGATGTTGTAGTCACAAGTAGATGGCCCCGATGTCTCTATAATGTTTTGCTAGACTTCACATTCATTGAATAAATTCGATATTGCCTTTGAGACATTTCCAGCATCAACAATCTCCATATTTAATTGCAATTCTTAAAACTAGGTTTCGTTAGTTTCCGCAGAAAATAACGATTCGAAAATTATTTCGCAGAAAATTACGATTCTTAAAAATGATCCCCTGTATTGCATTAATGAAAAATGTTTCATTATCGGTCACAATTTATGTTTAAATATTTTCGTAGACGATGAAAATATTTTTCGTTCGTTCATTTTCGTAAGCGATGCAAACGATTATTTTTAAGAGAAAATGATTTTCAAATAATTCATTTTTCGTGAAACAAACGCACACTAAAGAAAAATTTAATTAAAAAACGTTTGCCACTTTACCAAGTGTATGTTCTTAATTTGAAAGCATGTCTAATTGCTTCAATTGTATAGTTATACGTGTTGGTCACGAGAAAAAATTACACTACGAGTACTTCGATTTAGCCGGAATCGACATGCTTTTTTCACCCGTTTTAATATGTTAATTCGAAAAACCTATTCTTATGCCAATACTAAGTGAAATTAACATTACTTCACTAACAAAGCATAATGAGATGAGCTGCCAGCATGAACTACCAATACAAACTCGTTTACTTTGTGTCATCTTTTGAAAAGTCACTATTTTTTCTTGCTTTCCCACCAAAATTTAAAATAGCATCTATATTTCGAAAAATTATATGTGAATTTACGTATCAGACCGGTTTTAAAGATTCACCTTTTGCAAGCCCTTTGCACTACTTCCATCTACGAATGAGAAAGGCCCCCTGTTGCAAATCCGATCTCGGTTGTAATGCAACAGAATCTCACACGCAGGAGAAAAGGAAACTGAAGCGTCCATCTGCATGGTTTATACACTGGCTTCTACCATTGAAAAAAGAAGAGTAGTAGAGGGTATATTGGACAGACGACAAGCAATTTGTCGAAAAAATAAATTCGTATTTTAGGAAATTCTTTTAGGCAGGTAGATAGAACTCCTAGCATTCATTACTCGTGGATAATCACGAGGATGAGGCATAGTCCTATTCTGTACGACAGCCAAGGATGATGTAATTCCCATGCCAGTAACTTCAATCTCGCATTCAGAAATCGGATATAATTAAAGCATAGAGTGACGCCTTTTCACATTTCGTTCGATCTTCTATTGATTGATCAATGAAAGAATGTGGCATCAGAACCTTTAATGTCAATCAAACTTTCTCATCAACTTCGAAAAGACAGCTTCTATGATATCTTCAACTCTGGTTACCCAAACAATGATCTATTGTAAGCTTGCTAAAGGTGTAGATTCTCCTCTCGCAGAAAACGAAAATTAACAAACTGCCAGGATGAAACTGAGTCGGAACTTAGATGAGATGGTTGGGCTTCACACTCTCTTACTTGGAGAATGGGATCCGGCTGAGTTTCATCAGTCCTCACCAATAGTAGACAGCTGTACCACTGGACGTTGCTGCCCGCTTATAGTCTTCAGAGTCCGGCTTTCCAGGGATTTCGGGGGCTGTTCTGCGATTCAATTTTGCTACTTTCGGACCTCAATTTCACCTTTTCCTTCTCTGGTTATGCTTTGAAGCAAATGTTTTCATCTGCACAGATACGAGATCTGTTACGACCTGGAAAAATTACTAGTACATGACAAAAATAGCAGACTAGGATGTGCTTCGCTGTAAATGCAGGTGACAACAAGGTTACTAGGAAACTGAAAGAACCGAGGGTTCGAGCTCATTTAGCTCTTAAAGTTGGTATGGGAAATAATGGAATACGATACCAGTGTGTTGGCAATATCATATAGAGGCATCTTCTTAAGGCCACAGTTATCATTTATCTCGGCAGGCTCCGTGACAGGTGCATTCAGAGGCGCAGTTGCATCTCTAGAATCAAGAATGTTGCTCTTCTCTGCTTCAGCACTGCCTGAACATTTCGAATTTCCTTCAGTCGCTTCTCTTGGGATAGATTCGCCCAGCTTGACAGCAACTGAGTCCTCGTGCACACTCTGACGTGTCGTCACATCGTTAGCATCAAGGACCTTCTCTGCTTCGGCACTGCCTGAGCATTTCGAGTTTCCATTTCCTTTGGCCACTTGTGTTGGAATGGTTTCGTCCAACTTCACCACAAGTGAGCTCCTGTTGGTGCATTTGGTATGCGAACAACCGCATGATGTCCCGCAGCTGCCCCTGGCCACTCGGCATTGACACTTCATTGTCTTGCACAAAGATTTCTTACTGCAAGAGCAACATTTGGCTGATGCATTTTCCCCCTTGGCAGCAGCATTCTCACAAGTTTCCGCTTTATTTGTACTTGTATTTGATTGTTCACTGCTACTCCCTATTGATAGGGAAGATTGACTCAAGTCTCCCTAATAATCCAAATACACAAATTAAGAATTATTTTCGCCTTGCACGATGTAAAAAATTTCATCAGGGAAAAAAGGTGTTGCTTCAGATTTCGCAGCGGTGCTATCAATCTCCATGATGTCTATCTACCGTTTCTTGACGATCTAATGGACACTGTTTTATAGCTACACTAACCTGCAGCTCTTCCAGAGGTGGGAATTTTGCTTTTGGCATTTCTAGTTTGTGAAGCATATGACTCAGTTGGACTACATCTTCTTTCAGGTCTTTCAGCTCTGGGTCTTCTCTACACTCAAGTTCTTTGTTCTCCAACAAGATCCTTCAAAAAGTGTCAAGAAAAGAACAATGAGAAATGTCAGCCGGGAGCATTGAGGTTTAATGGCAATACTAATACCCAAATCAGTCCCAAGGCCAAATTGATGGAAGAAATTGCATAAATAAATCATTCCCAATACCAAAATAAAGCAAAAAATTTGCTCACCTGAGGTTCTCTTGCTTTAGTGACTCAGCTTCTTCCTTGATCTTCGTGATCTCATCCGCCATCCTAGCAACAAAGGAGGCAAGAATAAACTATTTTAATGTTAATCAAAAGAGAAATATGAGTACCAAAACAATTTCATCAAAATAGAAACAAATGGGAGAACATCCACTGATCCTGGTATAGAGAATCTCGGGCATTATGTTTAGAGAAAGTAAGCTTGAACGAAGATTCTAAAAAAACCACAGGATATATGAGTTCCCTAAATGTTCTCGGGACCAGACTGGTTCATTCAACAAGTCGAACCAAAAAATGAGCCTTGTGCTCATCCCCTTTCTCCTCCAATCCAGTTCACTGAAAACAATCGGTCAGAATCAGACTTCAACCGGTTCAACAAAATCAAGTCAAGTAGTCAGTTTGAACCTAACTTTCATCAAATTGTGGGAGCCGCGGTGGACAAGAGGGGTTTCCATTACTGCCCTCTAGGAATTGAATAGGCTGTTGGCTAGCAAGCAGGATCTGCTTGTACAATTATTGACAAGGAATACATTTAGTCTAGGCATCTATTGAAAGAAGAAATGAATAAATGGTGCGACCGGCAAGTTACACTTTGAATCTCCACCTTCTGCACACACTCTCTAAACCACTCTGAATGATTAACCTCTATCTCTATGCTTGTATTATTTTATATTTTGTATTTAGCTTCATTATAGCACTATACATCAAATTGGCAGTCTAACCAACTGAATGGCAAACCGTCAACTCGAGATATTAATACACAGATCTAATTCTAAAAAAACCGCCTAGAGACATATCCTGTGTATCTCTTATCGTATTCAAACCCGTTTCTTAAATATATGAAAGATGAAGTTTAAAGATGACATGACTAACAAACTAAGTGACCAATACCCACCACTTTTAAGAGCATAATTCCACCAATACTTGGGGATACCTTGCATGATTGTGAAGTACATTGTTTCCACGGTTATCCTTGCATCTAGATTATACTTCATAGGTGACTTCCATTTCACAAAAGAAAATCTCTGCTACATCTAACTTTTAACTGGAAAATTTACACATGTGAACATGTCGCAGAAAAATTGTAGAAGTTTCAATATTGAGCACTGGTTTAGCTATCGAGATTTTGAGCCAGCTGACAATAACTTCAAGTGAAATAAATAGATGTGAGCAATGGCGTTTATTTGCTATGTGCTGCAAGTGCTTAACCATAATTGTGGGCAAAGCAAATTGAACAATTTCACAAATTATCTGGACGAATCCACATATATAAGAGAAAACATAATTAAGTACATAAAATCCCATTGAAGTCTAATTAAAAAGCAATTCAAGGTATTCTTATTTCATTATTACAACCATTATGAAGCTATCTGTCTGCTAAAATAATAGTCAAATTTTCTCTAGAGCTACAATAGATAATACATCATTGCATCATTGTCTGTCATAGATTATCGAATTATGCTAGTCATGCTGGGAGATGGAGTGATGTGCATATGGAGTTCCATGTCCAGACCACAAAAGGTTCAAATTTAGTTACACCATGTAATGATCAAAACTTTCAGCTAATGTAAACTAACTAATCTAGGATCTCAGAAACATGGAATGGGAAAAAAGAAACAGAAAGAAAAGGCAAGAAGACACGTAAAAGGCAACAATGCTAACAGTAGTCGGAAACAGATATACAAACGTTTGCAAATCGCTAGGTGCCGCATGCCATGCAATCGGAAGTAATAAACATGATAAGCAGTTTTTGACACTATTCTCTTTCGGAAATCCCTAAATACCTAAATTTGAATAACGAAAAAAATGACAAGCCAATTTCACCAAGAACAAGATGTAAAAAAGAGCTTAAGCTCTATTGCGGGAATTTCTATGACCAGGGAAAAGGAATAATGGACTTACATCTCTAATTGATGTTCATATTCAGAACATATCTCATTTATATGTGATGTGACTTCAAGCTCATGCTCAATAGCCTGCAGCAGTGCCAACAATTGGAAGTAGAAATAAGAACTTCAAAGCTGAGCCATCCTAACCATCCTATATATAATTAACATTAAGATAATTAATAAGTCCAAAATGTTATTTGTTCATCTAGCTTGTAATTCATGGTTAGGAAAGAAATTCTTGAGCAAGAATACTTTGTGATTGCATGTCAAGGGCTCCACTGTCTTAAGTAACAGCCATTATTCACTTGTGCATTGGAATTTCCTTCAAGTGAAACCATGGTTTACAGAACACTCCTGACCTTGGCCCAAAAGAAAAAGAAAACTCCATACCAGAATGCATAATATGGATGAAAGCTCCGTGAATAAATTGTGCAACAAATTTTAATCCATCGTATTACAAAGCACAACATGGCGAGGAAACAGTATTGAAGAATCTTTGCAAAAACATGGTTCAAGACTAAAAAAGTAGAAACCAACACACTTAGGTAGAGGATGGTTGCTATGAAGATCAACTAGCATCTCATATATTCCACTGGAGTTATGCTTAAAGTGTGTATCAATCTGGTCAGAGCGGACATGCAAATTGTCAAAGTAGAAACCATCACATAGATGGAGGTATTGTCCATTTAATTCCCCGCCTTAATCAGGCTTCCCTTTCTTTAGCATACCTGAATCCCAGAAGTATTTCCTTTCCTGGACCCTACATGAGATTTTTGGATAACAAAAGGGTCAGGTACAACATTGTACACATTGAAAGAGTGAATGGAGCAATCAAACCACTTACCAGCTTTCCTGTGCAATAGAGCCTTTCGAGATTCAACTAGTTGTCTTAGGCGATTCGTAGCCACAGAAGATTCTTTTGTCTTTCGTTGCAAGACCTGACACAAAATCCTAGATGGTGAATAGAATTGTTCCAATAGTGCAACATATGTGTCGGGAACATGATCTTACCATCTTTTGCCTCTGGTTTAATGCCAATACTTTATGCATCTCGTAGTCATTTCTCCTTCCCTCTTTCTTAAGCTAACAGAAAATAGATCAGCATGTAAGAATATTTTGCACTGTGAAAGGAATATTTAGTAACATATAGAGAACTGTTGGTATTAGCTCACGTTGCTGAACACCTCTCTTCAGACAAACAGTCTCTTATTTGAGCAAACAAATTCACAAGAAAAAAATCCAGAATATGCAAGCAGTCAAGTTGTAGTGATTAATGACAAGAAAATGAACATGCAAAGCAACTAACCGATTGTGTTGACACCAGAAGAAAAGTGAAGGCTGCTTAAGTAGATTCCAAGCATCAAGTAACATTGAATCTAACTTTCTCCAAACCAGGAGCTAAGGACCTTCATACTTTTACATCATCTAATATGTAAGTTGATAAATATTTAACTAGGGATGAAAGAGATTCCACGGAACCAACTACAACGTGTCAGTCAGATTCCTAATCTGAAGGTCAAGTATGACCTGACAATCTACTTAGACATGCTATGTGTCCCTGGATCTGAAAAATTAAGCAGATACAAATCTGATGAGCAAGACATGAAATAAGTTAAGAACATTAGTTTATGTACCTGAAGGATTTCCTTTTCCAATGAACCCTTGCACAACCTGAACTGCATGGACTCCAGTTTCATTTTGCATTGGAGTTGAACCTACAGAGTATATAGTGAAGTATGGAGTTATTTAAAGGTGAAATCAAAGAGCACAACCGTTGCACAACCCACAAAGTACCTTTTGAGCTTTCAACTTTTGAATCTCGTCCTGCAAATGCTTTGTGCTCTCTTCACTTTTTCTTCTATACATTGAAAGCTGGGATTGGACATCTTGCTTCTTCTTCAACCCCTTAACCTAAAGCCGCCACCACATAACATAATTAAGACAGGTGCTTTTTTTTATCATTTGAAATTTTTATGTTCCGTCAAATAAGCAAATCTAACAGATGAAAATATTTTCGACCAAAAAAAATAACAGATGAAAATATGACCTGCTCTTCAAGCACATTTAACTTTTGGAGATAGCCTTCCTTCATCTTGCGCATGCTGTCATTAGGAGTGACAGATGCATTACTTAGTTTGCCTCTCAGTTCCTCGATCTCTTTCTGCCACATCACAAGAAAAAGGAGTCTGTAATGTTTTATGAAGGGCCACATGCAAAAAATTTGGTCGGAAAGTCCAACTCAAAGGCTTAAGCTTATAGGGGGAGGCTACATGAACATAAGGCCCATTAAAATCCCATAGAAAAAAGCAATGTGGGATTCTTTAACAAATTTTATGATTCTCCTGGAAACAAGTGTAGAATAAAATGGCATTCAATGATCCTGGAAACAAATTTTGTGCACTTTTGGTCACAAATAAAAGTAAGTTGCTCCCATGGCAATCAAAGAGGATTTTCCAAACGGGAGCCAAAATTATGCAACCACAGTTAGGTACGGACCACAATACCTAGAACCCGAATACTGCATTGCGGACTGGCTTAGACAGGTAAGCATGAAAGAAACATCTACTGGAGCCAATAAAGTCCAATCACACATGTGCAGGCACGAAAAAGGATTGAACTCCGATTTATTCAAAGGTCAGTCTCCAATTTCTCGGCAGTGGAAAGGCAACATAATCAATCCCATCACGAGGACATTCCCAAACAATTTCTCGATTCTTAAGATGAAGGCAATCTTCTAGCAACGGATATCGCATCCACACAATCAACGCAGCGCTCGATAAATGGAGGATCAGGGAAATCATTGGATCCTCCCAAAATTCGATGAGGAAGATAGTCTAAGTAAACGTGCTATTAGCTGAAAACGATTCACTCGCTCAAAGCACTCAACATCGATTTCACACGGCACATCCAGCGCCGGCATTTCCTTTCGAACGTATTTATCAGAGCGACAGTGGAAACAGGAAACAGATCGATGGAAGGCCGAACCTGTTGAGCTCTGTTCTGCATCTCCAAATCGCGAGCTCTCTTCTCGTAGTCCGGCTGCTGCTGCTGCTGCTGCTGCTCGTCATCGCCTGCCGGAGGAGGCGTCGCCGTCGCCGTCGCCGCCGACGGCGACGAGGAGGAGGACGAGCTGTGCTCGGCGGAGGTCGCCAGCTTCGGACGCCGATTCGCTCTCGCCATCTCTCTCTCTCTCTCTCTCTCTCTCTCTCTCTCTTTCTCAACGTTAACTGAACCAAAAGGATTTGAAATGGAGAGGTTGAAGCAGGCTTTTTTTTGTAGGGAGAGGATGGCCTTTCGGTTTTAGCTTTTTCTCTCTCTCTTTCCCTCTCTCGAACTGCGTTTGAAATTTCGATGCCGTCGCGTTCCTTTATCGCGCGTGTGGCAGCATCCCTACACGTGCGAACCCCCTCTGGGAACATTTTTCTATTTCTCTTTTTTTTTCTACTTTTTTGAGCATTTTTTTCCCTGGCAGTTGCGGGCCGGAACAACAAATGCGACGCATTTCCCAAAGAAAATTGAGTTGTTTTTTTTTGTCAATTAGAGGATGACACTGTCCTCCCATTAATTCAAATTCATTGACAATATTGAATACTTTCGAATAATTCATGGACAAAATTAAACATGCACTAAAAGTTCAGGGATTATATTAAATAAATAAAAAGTTAAGAGACTACGTTACATATTGAACTAAAATTCATGAACTGTTTGTGTCGTTTTCTCTTTTTAAAAAGTAATGTGTAGCTATTTCTTTTTGATGTTTTTTTTACTATTCTAGCCTTTGGAAGATCACGAAGAGCTATTTAATACGAAAATATTTCAATCATAATATAGATCATTTAAATTGTTTTACGTACATATTTACAAATTAATGATCCCTTTGCTTCTTGGGGAGCATCTTGACAAAGAAAGGGACTTCATGAAAAGTCAAATTTGACTACGGTATTTGCACGATAAATAATGAAAAAACAAACACGAAATGTTTTGATAGGAGGATGCATTTGGTTCAACTTTTTCAGTGGGCTTGCGGCCTCTAAAACTACCTGGGAAATGCCAAGGTGTTTGGCAAACCTTCCCAAGGGGCTTTCGGCCTAATGTTGGCCTTGTGAAAGCCAAAAGCCCAATGCTGGTAGGGATTCAGCATTGGATTTCAGCATTTTACCAAATGCTGAAACTAGTTTTTTCTTCCAAAATTACCTTCACCAATTCTATAATTTTTTGGTTTTGCCCATCATTGTTACTGTTCATTTTCTTTGCATGAGGGTGGCTGGCGAGAGCCAACAAGGCTAGATTGGGCCGGCGAGGTCGCATGACCCAAGCGATGATTTGGGTCATGCAACTATTGCCGAGAGTTGCATGACCTCGAGCGACAATCGTTGACGCCAAATCTAACTCGATGGAGCTGGCGATTTTAATAAAAAAAAGAAAAATTAAACTCAAAAACACTATGCAAATTTTTTTTTGCCAAACATTACTTAGCCCAAAGTAACTTTACAAATTATTTTTTTACTAAACGTAATTTGCATTTTCCCAAGGGGCTTTAGGCCAGCATTTACATTTTCCCAAAGCCCACTTGTAAAGTTGAACCAAACCCAGCCTTTACCCTTATGCCCTCAAGGCTAATTACCATTATAAATAGTTGACCTCTAGCATCGTCAAAGTGGGCTGAGCCCGACCTATTTTATATACCTACTAAAACCCATATGTTTTGGGCTTTTAATTGTTAAAACCCATTATGACCCATAATATATGTTTGAGGTGGCCCATTTAGATAAATGTGAGTTAAAATATGGGTGTGTGATGAATTTTGACAGCCCAACAAAAACTATAAATTATTTGATTTATATCTTATCATGTCCCTTTAAATAAAAGGTATATTAGATCGTAAAAAAACTATAATTCTAATCAATGCTGGACTTATTTATTGTTTTATAACGTATCTAATTCTATTAACTATTGTCAAGATTCATGTATCTCGAATTGGCAATAAAATCTTCTATTACCCAAGTGCAAGAAAGTCACTTTTCATATTAATATTATCTTTCCTATCAATTTCTGTCTCTTTCCAAACAAAAAAAATTCTTAATCTTCACCTTCATTTAACCTCAAATTTTCACTGTTCCAAACACATCAGGAAAAATCAATTTCCTTAATCTATCATCTCTTCATCTCAAATTTCTTCATCTAGGTTTTGTTCACCTCCCCCTTTTTAAACCATATAAAGTGTCGGTGCAGATAAGACATAACCTGATGCGAATAGATAAAGGAGTGGCTAGAGTTTGATAACTTTGGCAACGAAAATGTGGGATGAGTTTTGAGACTTTTTTTAAGTCATTAATTTGTTTTTATTTACGATAATGCCATTTCAGCTCAATAGGATCACCAAATACCATAAATCCCACCTTAGTCACAACTCCATTTGCAATTAGCAATTCTAATTCCTCTTATCCCTTTGATTGACTGATTTTTAGTCAACCAAATAAGATTGGAGATTTGATCTCAAGTCATGTTTGTAGAATGACCTGTGCGATGCAATTTCACCATATTGTAATGTCGAGCATTTGAGCTTTTAAAGCACAATGTTTCTCGTCACATAGCATACAAGGGTCAAATGATTATTAACATAAAAATAGATTCCAAATTTTACGGGCTCATTTGTTTCCAATTGAAGATGAGTAAATTTTTTTTTTCCTGTCAATATTGAAATGTCTATCCAGATACCTACCTGTGTTTTGGACTTAACTAATTCAATGGGTTTGTAAGGTCTCCACACTTACGGACGGATCCAAAACTAGATCTTTGGGTAGGGGCTGGGGCAATATATTATATAGTGAAACAAATCACGCGCTCCAACCCTATAAAACATCGTATTCAACAAGTGCATCAATATATCAACACATGCACGCGATTTTTTTTAAATACGTAATTTCTTTATGTACATATGTCATTAGATCCACTTACGCGTTAAAAATTTATGTTCTACCTTGATAATTATGGTATACTAATTCGTAATTAGTACCTAAAAGTTTTTAATAATAAGCTTTATGCTTCTGTTCTCTAAAGAGGAGGAGGATAGAAAATGAGAGGTGTGCTTGAAAAATTAGAGAAAATTTTAAATGTTTCGGTCAAAGGGGATCGAAAGGAAACTTAAAAAGAATTTTCTCCACCCACTTCTACATTTTCCTCTCCCTCTCTATCTTCCAAAACAAAGCATTATTGCTTGATGATAGGCCAAATTATCCAAAAAGAAGAAAAGAGTGCTTCTTGATCAACATAAAAAGTCAAGTCAAACTTAAATAATTCCGCAATTATTTATTTACTTATTCATGGGCAATTCATCTCAACTTCGGACTAAAAAAACAGTTCGAAAGGATAATAATTTATTATTTGACCCCCCAAAAGTCTTGCCTCGCGTGCCGTCACCCTTGAGAAGCGGAAACTGGAAAAGCGAATATACCCAAAAAAGAGAAAAAAGAAAAAAGAGAGAAAAAAAAACACGGAAATGGCAAAAACGTAAAATACTCCGCAGAAGATTCAAACGCGAACCCCGACACGGAAGAGGTTGTCTGTCCGCCACATAAACCCACGTTGGCGAATTGCGCGAACCCCCCGCGGGCCCCCCCCCCCCCCCGCCTCCCTAGGCCTACATCATCCGAAAAGTCGCGATCCCATTGGTCCACGTCGGTTTCCCGTGGGCGATGCGCAACCCCCCCCCCCCGCGCAAGTTAGCGAGCGGGGAGCTGCCGCGCGCCGCCTCCCTCGTCTCCCTCCCCCACAAAATCTCGGCCGTTAGCTTCCATTTGAAGAAATCGATCCGTCGACGAACCCGAGAGATATTTTATTTTATTTTTGTTCGATTTCACGGCCGTTCGAGCTCGCAGTTTGCCTTCCGCTGCACGATTCGCGAAAGGTAAACGACGACGACCTGTTCCCGTGGTGTCTCGGTCGGATTTTCCCGGAAAGTTCCGCTCGATTTTCCGGGAAAACGCTAGCCATTTTCCCTCTTTACCTCGTCGCGATTTCGTGTTGGGGCGGATCGGACACGCTATTGATCGATCAATCTCCCTTGGCTTTCGGAGAGATAGTTTGGTAGTCGCAACCCGTGCGGTTAGAGGTCGGATTGCCGAGCAGGTACGCCGAGGGAGCGCACGGCGATTGATTGTTTTTGTCGGTGCTATTTTTGGGGGCCGGGTTCGCATTTCCGAAACCCTAGGGTTTCGGCTGGGGAAAACGAGCTCGCGGGTTTTGATTGCAATGCCGTTGCGAGGCAGCGTCCCTGGTTTTTCCGTTCGATTTGGAGACGGTTGAAAATTAGAACTCTGGAACAGTTTCTGTTTTCGAAGTTGTTGACCGAGTGGGGGCTGGGTTTGATACTTGGTTTGGTTTAGGTTTGTATGAATTACGGGCGGGTAAGTACTGCACTGCTTGGGATTGGACTTTTTTGAAATTATTCCCATTACTTTTTAGGGGGTTGTTATCAGAGACTACGTGTATTTTCGTCGTGGTGCATAGAGTTTATCGTGCATCTTTTTTGGAGATGTATGCATAAAATTACGGATCACAGGATCAAGGGACAGTGTTCTGCTGACTATTCGCGTAAGATCATAGGCTGCCGAGGCATCATGCGATGTATATGCAGTGGGCAGGTGCCGGATATCACTATAGATGTGCAAAAAGTCTTCTACCTGTACAAGGTCTTTGCAGAACGGTTGAATACGAGTTCTTTGGATGCAGGGTAGCTTGTATTGGGATCGAACCTTAGGTTTTCTTAAGATGTTGCCAATGCTGTTTGAATTGTAATACTCGATGGAAGGTGTCCGCGCTCCAATTTTATTGTCCAGTGTAGACATTTCATGCAACTAATTTGATTGGCGCTTTAGATTCTTTTGCTAATCCTGGAAGAGCATGCTTCCGTTCGATTTATCATAATAATGGTCTTTGGTTTCTTCTAGTCCCCCTCATAATTAATGGGTTATGGCTTCATTGGGATTGTCATTTACAAGATGGAGAAATTCATTCTACACATCATAGTCAGGACGATGCTTTCTTATTGATTTAGATGCACGAATTTGAGATCTGTATTAATTGCTCAGTGCAAAACCCACCCTGAAAGCAAATCAAACACTGAACACTGCCTATTTTGGTATAATTTGAATTCCTTCCCCTTAGTCTTCTTACTTTTTGCAGGCGATATATTTGTTCGGCAGTTTGAAATTTGGAGTGCTGATTCTTTCCGAGGGCATGTTTTTTGTGGTTTGAACTTATCTGAACTGAATCTGTGTCATCGATCA